ATAGAAAGAGAAGTACAATAGTTACCATAGTTCCACAAGCCTTGAGGAAGTAGGTAACATGAACTTAGATGACTACTATCAACCTACTCCTACAAGAATTATAAAAGAACCAAAGGTGAGGGAATCAAGGGTTGATCTCCCTTTCTTTCATGGAAAAGAGGATGTGAATGCCTACTTGGATTGGAAAATGAAAGTGGAACAAATTTTCACTTGTCACCAAGTAGGAAAGGAAAGAAAGGTTCTCTTAACCACCTTAGCTTTCCAAGGACAAGCTATGTATTGGTGGACAACTCTAGTTAGGGAAAAAAGGCTTCATAATGACCCACCCATACAATATTGGAATAACCTAAAATTTGTTCTAGAGTGCTAGAAAGGTCCTTGTAGAGTAAGGAGGTGGCCAAAAAGTGCCCCATACGATTTTGCGAGAAGATAATATAAAAGCTTGCTTCGGAGGTTTCAATCTCTTTTCCCTATTTACTACTTTAATTGTATACTTAGAATAGTCATCATGTAGACAATAAGTCAAAAATCAATAGATTAGGAATAATGTAGAAATAAATAGCCATGTATGTTTAATAAATAAAGGGGTAAAAGAATACACAAATACACAAAGAAAACATCAAATTGAAATTGAAAATCACACCAAAATTCCTTGAACCACTCACCTTCCTTATGGCATCAATCCTAGCCTTTTTCTTTCCAAATTGTGATTTCTACTTCAAGTATTCCTCATCTCCCTACATGTTAAGCTTTGTTGTTGTCAAATGAAAAATTCCATTAAGGTGTAAAACCCATTCTATAAATTTGGTTCTTAGCTTTAACAGGGATTGTTTTGTTGAACCAAAGATGATTTCATATGTTCAATACTCCAGTTTTGATGATAATAAAGCAATGACTTTGAAAGACTAATATTTGTCTCAAGTCATTTTAGGAAGCATGTGCCCAAGGTTGTAGAAGGAATGAACAACAAAAGATATTTTTGTAAATAACTCTTTTCTACAAACACCTAAAATGAGACAAGTGTAATACTTACTAAAATAAGATAATTAGCATTTGCATTCAGCTTCTTGTGGAAAACGTTTACATTTTATAAGTGTTCACAATTCAAATGCTTGTACAATGTTTCGCACTCTTAATGAATACATTCAAACATTTAAAAAACATGTTGATAAATGTTCTAATAATATGTGGATGTTACAAATGCTATATTACTTTATTTTTTCTTTTGTATATATGCATAGACAAGTACATTACATCTAAATTAACGCAACATCTAAAAAAGAAAGTAAAAAAAAAAAAGAATTACCAGCCCAAACAACTCATTTAGAATCAAAGCTCTCTACATCATTCTCTTATCAAGCCTAGAGTTTATGAAACAATGAAGGATTTGAACAAGTGTTGAGAACAAACATATTATGCAAATCAAGGATAACACTTCAAATGACCAAGTGTCAAGGCTCTCACCAACGAATATATCTCTAAAGCTTGTAAAATAAGAGAAGACTTGAAGAAAATAGTTGTTGTAATCTTGTGAATATATTGTATAAACACTCATTCAACTATGCCAAAACATTGACGAAATATCTCTAAGACTTAAATGTCTTGTAAATCATCATCTAGTGAACGATTAGAGTGAAAACTTAATTTTAGCTATACTTGCCTTAGCAAGTCAAACCTCTTTTAAGTGTACCTAAACATACATATCCTCTCTATGAGAATTAGCTTGTAAACACTCCATACATTTTCTCTTGTCAACTTGTAGAGTCTAGTTAAAAAATACTGCTACATGTGGTTATATCCTATCCAAGAGTGGCATGGAAAATACTTTATGTGGCCAAGAATGACATAGAATACTTGTTTGTAAATGTTTCCAATTTAGTGAAACCCTTCTAGTTTGAAGGTAACTAGCCATAGCTCAATTGAGTGAACTAGTATAAAATTGCTAAGTGTTTTATGCTATCCTATGTTCCTCACACTTTTGGATGAATAGTTTTTATTAGCTTCTAATTTCCTACTTGCACAAAGCTTTAAAAATACACTTACACACATTCAACTCACCTTTTTCTGTGTTTATTTCAACTTCATGATTTTTGTAATAGTTTTAATTTGGTTTTTTTTTGGCTTTATAGCTCTCGTAGGTGAGGTATGATATTGTCCTTTTTACCTATTTTGGGCTATGCAGGTTTAAAGTTAGTTTTGAAGTCTAGTTACTTTTGGGTTTTTTGATGTTAAGTAATTTGTTTTATATGGGTTATAAGTAAGTAAATTTGTTTAGCATGTTAAAATATTTGTTGTTGAATCCCAGTATGTGACACGTTTGTATGCTTATGGGTTAAAATGACTTTTTTTTTTAATTTCAATAGCTATTCATTCCTTACTGGTTAAAAGTTAAAAAAAAATCATTAAAATGGTGGACGACTAGTTTGCTGACACTTGTAAAAAGGCTTGCTTCTTGAGTGAGCTATATTTGTATATATATCTATAGATATATACAAAACAGCAACATCAACTACAAAGAGTGATCACGACATCAGAACCATTAAATCAACAATGCATTCAATGTCACATCTAACTATGTATTGTATAATCCTTAACCCTTTCAACTTTATAACAATTATGCATCGCCACAGATATAACAAGTCAGAGACCTATAAAACAAATGGTTTATTCAACGCAACCTTACTAGACTTTTATCAACTTTGGTCACTCGAGTCTTACTAACATAAACTAAAAAGGTTATGTATTATCATCAGGTATAATAAAGTTTGGGTGTGAATCTATCACGACATTAGTATGGTTAGACCAACTCCTTAATGAAATTAACCTACCTCTTATACTTTAAAAACTACACACCCTTCAAGTAGTAAGTCGAGGTATACCCTAGGCAACCTTATTGAACCAAAGAAAATAATGTGTCTAATACTCCAATTTTGATGATAACGAGACATTAACCTTGAAGAGACTAATATTTGTCAATGTCATTACAAGACACATGCGTCCAAGGATTAAAAAAGGAATGAAGACTAAAAATGTTTTTGTAGCAGATGTCTTTTACAATCACATAAATAAACAAGTATAAAGCTAAGTAATTTAAAATAGTCAGTGTTTGCATCTTTTAAGTGTTTACAAGTCCAATGCTTATTGGACTTCTTTTCGGCTTAATACATGTTTTCAAATGTTTGAAAACATATATGATAAGTGCTTTAATATTTTGTACGCAATATAAATGTTATTATGCTTTATTTCCTTGATGTGCGCAAAAAAGGCACAATGAGTCAAACTAGTACAACGTCTAGAAAAGGAAAGTCAAGCTATAAACATAATTGTCAGCACCTAAAGCAACGAATTCAAACATTGTCTTGTTTACACCTTTCCTTTTCATTTCTATGTATATGTGAAGATCTGAAGCTTTAAATAAGTATGAAGAACAACTATTTTTGTGAAGATTAAAGTTCACATTCAAACTGCCAAGTTTCAAAGGCTTCACCAATGGATACCTTTTTATGCCTATAAATATGAGAACACTTGAAGAGAAATAGTTAGACGTTGTGAATATTGTAAAAACGGTTTAGTTGTGCCCAAACTCTGATATTTTATGTAAGTTTTGTAATCATCGTGCAATTGACGATCAATTGAGGAATGCCTAATTAAGCAAACATTGCCTTATCAAGCTACCTTCTCTGATTGTACTAAACATATACATCCTCTCTATAAGAGTTATTCTCGCTCAAAACCCTTTTTCCGCTATAAGCCTAAAGAGGCTAGTTAAAAAATACTACAACAATTGATTGCATCTATAACTCAAAAGTGACACAGAGAATATTTATTATAAAAAGTTTCTAAGTTAGTGGAATCATTACAAAAATACATGTATTAATTTTATCCATTGTTCTCCCCACATTTTTTAAACAAAAAGGTTTTATGAACTTATATTATTCATTTAGGAAAAAGTTTAAAAATCTACACACATTCAACCTTCTCTTCTATCCGTTTCTTTAACCTTCAACTTACAACTTACGAGCCAACTCATTACCCCATATGTAAAGTATTAATTGACCAAATGCATATCATTTTTGACAAAACATTTAAAGGACACAACTTTGGTTTTTTAAAATGAAATATTCACTTTAGAAAGCAACTCTCAATTGAAGAGGTTTGGAACTCATTGATAAAACCTTTGGAGCTCATTGATAAAACCTCCTAAGAATATGTGACTAGAATTTCAAACTTAAAAGATTTTCCAAACTGAAGCCAAGTTTTCTCCTTTAAACCAACTTTATTTATAAAAATGTGACTACAATTTCAATTGAACACAAGTAAAGTTAACTGGCAAAAGAAAATTAAGAAACTAAAAACATTTTACCCAAAAACATTTTGGCAAATGTGTTATAAGGAAAATTTTCAAAATCCCCCATGTAGAAATATTCAATAGCCCTACGTCTTGATTCAACTGGAGAAACGTGGGAACCATTTGTTTGAACGAAATCATGTTTGAATCCACATTAAATTTGATTAGATGTTGATCATTATAAACAAAAATGAGTTACTTTTGTATCAATTTTAGTTAAATGTTGATAGGTGAAAACAACAATTTGTTGTTTTTACATCAATTTTGACGTATTTCATGTTTTTACGTGAATCGTGAACATGGAACCAAACATGCACCAAGACACTTTGATCCGTAAGCTACTTCTTCAAAGATCATGATACACAGTATTATTTTGATTTGCTCCCTGCCAAAGCCAGTGTTGGCCTCGCAATTTTTGTTAAAGAAACTTACTTTTTCACATAGCTTTCCTATAAATGACTGACTAGGAAACCAAGACAAAATGGAAATCAACTAGTGGCCAAAAGGAATGATCCTATTTCAGTATAAATTTAAAATAAGCAGATAAATACTCAGTTACCAAGTTGGAAGACATTGTTAAAAATTGACAAACCAACCTCCCCCAATCCAAAAAATACAGTCAGAGAGAACTCCCACAGAACAGGACTAGGGATTTGAATAACTTACTAGTGATAATGATTTGGCATTGCAGAAGAAAAACTGAAACAACTCATTAGTGATAACGATTTCTGGTGATAAATTCCCCATTTCATCTATATATTTTGAACATATAAGGCTATATGTTATCTTTACAAAAAGAAAATGAAGCTAAAATGGTTTAGCAGATGCAAAAAATCTGCTACATAATTTCAAGCAGACTACACAACCCAAAAGATGAGCAATTTGATCTACCGTACTGGTTAAGTTCATACCCTCAATGCCACCTGATCCTGCCATGAGATCTTCCTCTTCACTGTCCTATTCGAACCATTCCCAATATTTCTACAAACCAACAACTTGACGTCGTTGTGCAGCTCTTCACTCATTCCTCTTGATGTAACTCTCTTCTGTTCTTCAACCCTCATGGGCTCAATATTACCCAGTAATTCCTCCTCTTCTCTCTGCACAAGATGACACCAAAATAGATTAAAAACACATTCCTACTCGAATGAGATATACATGTTTGTTTATAAGCCTAGAAACGCTATTAAGAACTTTTCTACTAAAAAATACTTTATATTTTGGATAGAAAAGTTTTCAAAAGTCTTTCAGATTGCATCCAAACATACACATAAACAAAGACTGTTCATCAAGTAAACAAAACGTGAAATTAATTACCGAAATTTCATTCAAGTCAAAAAATGGAGTGATACGCTTCTTTGTGGCTTCTTTTCCACCATGAATCCTGTCTTTGTGACTTAAGTCAGGCACTGGAGCAGAATTGAAAACAGAAGGATCTTTTTTACCAAGACTCCTAGCATTCTGGTTTAAATCAAACATATGAACTGTTTTTTGCACTGTGGTCTCAACTCCGTTGGAAATCCTTTCTTTAGAATTCAAATGAGGTGCCAAGGGGGGCCGCATAGTAGATTCCTTATTATTATGTTTCTTGCCCCTTGGGATATGGGTAGCTTGGACTTTAAGCTTTTGCTGGTGTGAAATGTCTAGCTTTGGATTAGGCTTTAGGGAAGGATTTTGTATCAAGTATCTATAACGTTGCCTCAAAAATCTGCAGTTACAAGAGTGATAATTCTAAGGATAAACTCCCTTGACTAAATAAGAAAAGATTCACACTATTAAAAACCCCTAAAAATCAAAAGCATGATACTTTACCGAACTTCTGCTGAGAGTATCAACTTTTTCTGCTTCGCAGCCTGCAATTTCATTCTCATGGCATTTGTTTCCTGAAGGCATGGAAAATTATAATTACTAGTTTTCAAAGTTATAACAAAGAGTTTGCCAAAAGGGAAAAGACGAAAAAGTAAAAAAAATAAAAAAATTCAAAAATCAACAAATAAGCGTAAATGAATATCTCATTACAAAGATTTAAGTTCCTCCGCAAAATGAGTCCAAAAAATGGAGATGCCACAACTAATCATCTATCTAATTGACTAATTCTTAAGATCAGGTCGTAATAAGTTCAAAAGCCAACTAAAAGATTATATAGAACATAAAATTAAAGCCAATAAGAATAAGGATTAAAAAGACTAATTTTCGGGAATCACAGATTCCCAAAATAAAAGGAAAAAAGAAAACTACAACATGAGAACAATAACGCTATGTGATTATTGTTCCACGTTTATTGCAACATTCAAAGGAAAAAGGTTTGAGTCCAAAAATTTGATTTTGGTGAAGGAAGAGAGAGATAACCTGGACTAAGAATTTCTACAATTTAATATAAAAAAAAGTAACAGATAGGAAATACTCATAACAACTCATGTGATCCGAAAATACACACAGGTTTTATAACATTCAAATAATCAAAAAACAACATAAGATTCTCGTATTGCTTTCCTTAACAACAGACAAGGACAAAGCCAAGCCACGATCAACATCCAGAAAGACATCAAAGGAAAAAGTAGATCTATCATGAAAAATTCAAACTTTATTAAAAATTAAGAAAAGGGTTACCTCCTGCAGGTCTTCATAGTCCTGCAAAAGACTCTGATGCCTCAACCTGACCCTCTGATCCTCATACACAGTATAAGGTGGAGACTCTACAGACACAACCCCTTTCATCTTCTTCATCAGATAAGAAAATAACTGAGCAAACCAAAAACAAAGAACCAACAAAATCTAAAGGTAACAAACAGATGAAGAAGAAGGTGGGTATTGGGCAGGGTGATGGAACAAGATGTAAGAGAAGGCGGAGAGAGAGAGAGAGAGGGAATGAGAGGAAAAGAAGCACGCAACAGAGAAAGAGAACTAGAAGGAAAGAATGAGATAAAGGGAAGATGGAAAGAGAGACAGGAACGGGAAGAGGAAAGAAGGTTCTTCTGGCTTTCCTATTTTCTCTGTGAAACTCTGACCAAGACAAAGAAGCCCCAAAAGGAAGTCCACATAAATCGGTGAAAAATATTGTTGTTTTGAGAGACAGTGATGAAGTTGGGATTTTTTGGGGTCTTGCAGAAGGGCAATTAAGGGAACACATTTTTATGATAGAGAAAGAGAAAGGGGTAGAGTTGTGTTGTGTTGTATGGTTGGGTATAGTTGGAGGACGTTTCAAGCCATCTATCTAGCTAACTTCCCTTTCTTTTTTGTTTCCCATTCTTTCTTTCTTTGTTTCCTTTTTGGTTTTTCTTCCACCTATATTTTGGTCCAACTGGGCCATTGATGAGAGAGAGAAAGATGGGTTTTTGATGTGAGAGGGTGCGTGGAATTTCCATGTTTCTTCTTTCATTATTTTTCGGTGGTTGCCTTGCCTCGCCTCTGAGTAGAGAGAGAAAGTGGGAATTGGTCAGACTCGGAGTGAGAGATAGAAAGAGAAAGCGATTAAAGACAGTGGCTGGAGATAAATGCAACGGTGATGATGCTGTTGTATTAGTTGTTGTTACCACCTTAATTTTAGGCCTACACAAACGACACAGATGTGATCCACATTATTATATGCAGAGTCAATTTGTATGTATTTACACGCATGCCCCTATTTTTGGTTTCCTTTGATGCTAAGGTAGTAGCTGCTTTTTCCTCGCCCTTTGTCCTGGGTGGAGAAAACTTGATGTGGCTTTTCATGATGAACTTTGACAAAGTAAGGAAGAAAGATACCAAATTAGCTTCAAGCCAGAGAGAAACCCATTTGCCAATTGCCCCATTATTTTGTATGCATGATCCGGAAAAGGAGGCTACATAGTGCCCTTGATCATATTCCTTTCTCTCTCCATTATCTCAAGGGTGAATTTGGGATTTTGTAGTCAACACCAAACTCATGAATCACTATCTTTATATTTAATGTTTCCCCCATCTTCGTGAATGGAATTGGAAACAAACCATCACCACCACCCCCTAGTTTCAGGCCTTTGTGCGTGATGTGTCACCACCCTACTTGCTGCCTAATCGTCACTACTATTACTATTGCCCTCATCCAACATTTCTTTATTCTAGATTTTGGAGAAATTCCACGTCCTTTAAATTTTTTTTTTTTTTTTTTTTTTTTTTTTTTATTTTTTTTTTTTTTTTTTTTTTTTTTTTTTTAATATTTTAAGATAGGATAATTTGCTCTTTCCCACGATAACATGGGTTTGCATTTTTCTAGAACCGTGTAGCAGGGGAATATGGCTAATGTCTCCCACATCATGTGATTAGTACAAGTCGTACAGAACGTGACCCGCAACCATGGTAAGAAATAAGAATCGAAAACAAATAGAGAAATTGCAGAAGAGTAGCCTAAAGTGAAGATTCTGATTTGTGAACAGAAAACAGCAGTTAAGGTAAAAGACAGGGTGCGGGTGCATGACTTGTTGCTATTGGAACTTGGTGTGTGCTTTACTCATTCTATCTAGAAAAATAATTTTATAATTTTAATTTTTTATTTATTTTAAGATTTAATTTAATTTTATTATTTTTAAATAGTTTAATATAACTTATAAAATTTTAAAAAATATTCAATATTATTCTTTTGTTTAAATTATCATTAACAATATTAATAAAATTAGATGGTCAAATAACATTGAATATTATTTGAAAATGATCAAGTTGAAGTATTTAAAAATAGTGACATCAAATTAAATATTTCATAAATAAAGAGAGTAAATTAAATAAAAATTTATTTAATATTTTTTGTGTAGATAAATTTAAAATTTTATTTTATTTTTTTTAATAATTTATTTTATTAGTTTTTTTTATTCTAACTATTAAATTTGTTATCATTTATGATCCTTTTAACGTAAGTAAAAAAATTCAAATTTATCCAAACAAAAAAATGTTAGATAATTTTTTATTCAATTTGGTCTTACTATTTTTAAAATATTCAATCTACTACTACTATTTTTAAAATGTTCAATTTGGTCATTTAATTTTCACAAAAAAAATCAATATTGGTCTTTCATCTAATTTAATTAACGTCGTTAGTGTCAATTTGATGATGTGATACTTGTCTCAATTGAGATACATAAAAATTAGAGGTGAGAAAAGTTATTTTTGAAAGTTTCCATATTCCATTATGCGAATATATGTTCTGGTGCTTAGAGAGGGCAAAGTTAAAAACCTTTGAATGAGTAAATTGGCTCCTAAATGGTTAGATGTTTTAAGTTGTCTCCACTAGGTTTTGTGTGGGTATGGGGATTGGGTCACGCCATACGTATATAGAGTGACTAATTAAGTAAGATATGAAGTCGAGAGTTAAATACTTAACTGATTACTAGAAAGGTATATAGTATTTGGAGGGTAATCAATGGGCTAATCCCATAAGACGCTTAGTTATGCATGATAAGACTGTGATAGGTTCACACCAAAGTCGTTCTATCCTAATAATAGTACTAGATTTTCCCAGTTTAAGTGGAAAAACTTGAAATATCAATTTGGCCACCATGCAAGCCATTGTTTCTAGTTTTCCAACATTAGGGGGAGAACACAAATAGCTAGAAAAATATATTAGTTGGAATGAATTATCACTATCTCATTTTGATCTTCGTTCAAAATAATGTGAACTAGATGTTCAAAAGATAAGTCATTTGCAAAATCTAGCCAACCAATTACCAAATGTATTCACAGATCCAAATAGGGTGACTAAGTCATATGTACCAGCAACTAATGCTCCAATAAGAGTCAAAATCTCTGTTGGACAATTTAATACTACAATATATATGAGTCACAAATACGCCTGAAGCGTGGTAGACCAATTGGTTCCAAGGATAAAAATTCTCGAATAGAAAAGGAAGTTAAAGAGCAAAATGACCAAATTGAGGATGTAAAAACTCAAAAAATATTTCTTTGACATAACTAATATTTCAGTTTTGGAAGAAACTCAGATACCTGAAATTATTGAAAATGAAGAGATCTCAATAAATTATGTCATGAATGGAATACGATGGAATAGAAAACAATGTCAATATTGATGATGTATTTGTATATAATATAGCGCTAAATGAAATAAATGATATTGAGGATCAAGAACCAAAGTCCATCAACGATTGTCGACAAAGAAATGATTGGCCAAAATAGAAAGATGTAATTGAGACAGAATTAGACTCGCTTGCTAAGCGAAAAGTTTTTTGACCATTACTACATACACCAAAAGATGTACAACCAATTGGATACAATTGGGTTTTGTGCAAAAACGAAATGACAATGGTGAAATTGTGAGATACAAAGCAAGACTAGCTGCTCAAGGTTTTTCACAAAGACCCGATATTGATTTTGAAGAGAGATTCACCTGTAGTGGATGCAAACAGTTTTCGATATTTAATTAGTTTGGTTGTACATGAAAAACTTAATTTACATCTAATGGATGTAGTTACAACATATTTATATGGCTCTCTTGATGCTGACATTTATATGAAACTCC